AGGCCTGGAGACAAGTAAGAGCTCACGTGCTGCGAAGGAGGTCTTGGGAGGGGCAGTGATGGCCAAGCAGGGGTCCTTAGACGAAACACTGACCAAGCTTTCGGCAGTCACGATTCCACGTAACTCTTCCGCCAGTGTGCACCCAGCCCCACCCCTGGACCAGCTTCCAGGTCAGTGCTGTCTCCCTGCTGGGGCCAGTGGGCCAGCAGCTCCCAGCCCACACCGAGAAAGGAAGCCTCACCTAGGCCAAACTCCTCCAAGCTGATTCTCCCAGTTTTCAACCCAAAGAAGGAGCAGAGACAGAGCTGCATGGAAGAGAGAGGACTGAAACCGAGGAACTGAACAGGGACGGTGGCTGCACCGGGGCTCCCGTACAGGGCTGGCAGCTGTCTCGGTGAAGGCCTGAAGCAGGAGGGTGGGGTGCAGGCTGAGCCCCTTGCACTCTGCGAACCAGCTATTCCCTACGGAGGGCTTTTAGAGGCCCTCCATGTCACAAAGAGGCGAGAGGTCATTTCTCTCTTTCCAGAGGGGCTTTCTGGTGGTGAGGGTGTAAATGCGAACCCCTCATGGGGGTCCTGCCAGGCCACATGGGATTCATCAGGACTCAAGGACTCTTCTGGGGGCTGGGCATCCTGAAGACCAGTTCAGAGATGGAAGCTGGACAACGCAGCCCAATTCCCGCACGATTTCCATGGAGATGGGAAGAGGGTTGTCCCAGGTCAAATGGTGAGTCAGTGCCAGAGTTTGGGCTAGAACCCAAGTTAACCCCAGATATCATGGTCATTTTTTTCTCCCTCCCTTTCTTCTTCTTTTTAAAATCTGTATCCCCGTTACAGTGAGAAGAGTCAAAGAGAGGCAGCACTGTGGGGTTTGGAGGAGAAAGGGACTTTTTCCAGCTGGGCTATCAAGGCAGGCTTCCTTGAGGAGGTGGCCCTTTTGTGGGTTCTGAGGACACAAAGCACCGCAGTAGGTCAGAGCAGGATGAGCGTATGTTGGAGCAGGGGAGAGGGCCTGCGCGCAGGCGCAGGGGCAGGGGCGCGGCCCCTGGAGAACACTGTCACTTCTCCCTTCACTCCCTCTTCCCAGCGTCTTCTCTTTCTGTTTCATTTTTAAAAATCCTTTTGAACTTCACCCTATGTGAAAGGAAATGCTTACTCCCCCAAGTACAGCTAGGGTTTTAAAGAAAAATGCAGATAAAGTTCTTCAAGGGAGAAGAGAAGAAGCCCAAGCAATAGTAAGTCTCACCCCCAGCCCGTTAGAAGAACAAATAGGCCCCCCAAGAACAAAAAACAAGACAACCCTGGCTGTGGTGAAGGCAACTGGATCTCCAAGAGGAAAAATGCAGAGGAAGGCGTATCACGGGACTTCCTGTGTTTCCAAAAGGCTCCATGAGAGCAAAGTACCCACCTGGAAGCTTCTCACTGTTGAGATGCTTATGTCAGCCAGAAATGGGGCCTGGTTAGGTTCAGAAATGACTCTGTAAGGAGGGACGGCTGTCCAATGTCTGGCGATAGAACCAGCTCCCTTGTAAGGTAGTGAGTTCCCTGTCCCTGGGAGCATGGGAGCAGACAGCGGCAAGGCAAGATGTAGCTTTCAGAGAGCTTCCAGACATATGCCTGTCTGACTCCATGACAGGATGCCACTGCTCTGCCCAGTTCTGCATTTTGGAGTCAAGGTGAGAACCATGTCCAAGGACAATTCTTAGTTTTAGACTCCCCTCTTTGGCCCACCTGAAGCCCTGCCTCTGTGTAAAGAGAGACACAGCATGCACAATTAGAAAAGAGATTGAATCCTGACCTCCTGATAGCTGGGGGCCTTGGGAAGCCACTTCATCTCTCTGCACGTGTTTCATCTTCCGTGCCTGGCCCCGAGGCTCCCTCCTGGTGTGCTTATGAATATCCAACACCATGAAGTGCACAGGCCTTGGCAGCTCTGGGGAAGTGTGCAGGTGGCAAGGTTGGTCCTAACCCACCCATTCATCTTCCAGCCAGCAAGAGGGACAGAGGTCGACTATATCAAGCTCTGTGCTAGGTTCTAGAATGAATTCTATATAATACACACACACACACACACACACACACACACACACACATACACAAACACACTGATATACATACATGTGTGTGCATGCATATATATACATATATATACTCTGCATATATGTGTACATATATATTTCCCCCTCCCCCTTCTAAGAGGAAGGCAGCAAGACAGATGCGGTTTCATTGAGAAGCAGCAGTCCCAGTTGTCTGTAAAGCTGCATTTTGCCACCAGAGAGCTACAGCGCAATCCATGGGCTTCTGGATGATGGAGATGGATTCCTCCCCCTCTTCTTTCTACTTCTTTTCTTGGTCCCCTTATCCTGTTCTGCTCGCTAACACTTCCCTGGGGTCAGAGAAGAGATAACTCAAATTAGTTAATTTGCTTCTCTTTAGTCACTGCTGGGAACAAAGTGGGAGGATGAGGAGGTGGCTACTAATGGATTTTTAAAAAGCAGAGTTGAGGCAGTATCTGTGCATGATGAGCACTCTGGCTATTTCCTCCTCACCCATCACAGAGAATTGAATGTTGGCCCCTATTTATAGAGTGTGGTTCTGTACCAGGAGCACCTCTCTTTCAGCTCCCAACTCCTACTCATCCTTCAATGCCCGGCTCACATGGCTCCTCCTCTTGGAGCCGTCCCTGACTTTCCTGGGCAGAGAACATGCTCACTCCTGTGTCTAATCACTTTACTCATGCTGGGGCTCTTGCCTATCTTCTCCTCTGGCTGGTGGCTCAGCTGTCTTTGTCACATGATTATAAACTCCTTGAGGAGCTGACCGTGTCGGATCTGTGTTGATGTTCACAGGCCCAACACTGTCTGCCACATGGTAGGTACTCAGGTACCACCTGCCCCCTCCCCTCTGCCCTCTGCTGCCCTCGCCTCCTTCCACGAGGCCCTCTTTCCTTCTGCTCCAGTCCTGCCAGCCACTTGCGGTTGGCAAAGCCCAAGCACGTTCCACCCTGGGAGCCTTTGTTCAGCTCTTCCTTCCTGCCTTGTTCCCTCACTTTCTTCATGTCCTGCTCCAGTAATGCCTTGTCCGGGAGGCCCTCCCTGGCACCCTGTACGAAACAGCAATGTAATTTCCCTCAACTCCTAGCTCTCTGGCTTGGCTTTCTTTCTTGCTTTCTTTCTTTTTTCCTTTTTTTCCACCCCATAATGGCTTCTACTACCTGATGTCATATATGTACATTGTTACTTGTTGACAATCCCTTGACCCTACTCAAGTGCAAGCTCACGAGAACAGGCACTTGGCTTTGTTCTGTGCTATGTCCCCAGCACCAAGAACAGCACCTGCCACGTGCTGCACAGTCCACGCTCCATGAATATTTGCTGGCTGAATGGATGACTGGATGAATGAAATCTACAGAAAAGCGAGCAGGTAAGGAAGAAAGCGCTGGACGCACACGAACTTAAGCCCTAACTGTCTGGCTGAGTGCTGGGCCATGATGCCTGCCCCAAATGAACTGGCCAATTTCTCTGGGTCTTGGAAGTATGCTAGTCTCAAGTGTAAAAGCCACTGGGAGGGAGTTAGTTTTCAGCTAATAACTCATGGGCCAAAGGATGGCATCAAGGGGCTAGGGGAGTAGTGGCCTAAATTTGGATATGACAGAGCAAACCTTCCAACAGCAGGCCAGAGAGACAAGCTGCTCAAGTCCAGGCGAGGAAAGGCTGCTGTCGAAGGGGGCTCTGAAATAGAAGGCCTGTTAACAGCTTCTCTCCTCTTTAACTTGCTGGGATCTAACAGTGTTGATGGACAAGACCTGCCCCTGGATTTTAGGCACAAGGTTCCAGTGGAATCCAGATATGAGATCAAAGCTATATTTAAGGAGCTCTGAAAAAGGCGGAGCGGGGAAGGAGCTAACAGTTGCTGAGGTCTCCTATAAGTAAGAAACTATGCTCAGGTGTGAGCTCATCTAATCCTCACTGCCAGCCTCTAACACAGAATGTCCTGTCCCCATCTTACAGTGGGGAAACAAAAGCTCAGGAATTTAAAACAATGTAAGCAAAATCATCGAACCAATAAATAGCAGAGGTGAGATTTTAAGTAAGGTCTGTCTAATTCCCAAAGCGTCTCTCCTTCCTCCTAAGGGAGATGTGTTAATACGCCTGAGTCCAGGGAGATGAACCCTCAACAGATCTTTAGTCACCTGGAAGAAACGTCAGCCTACATCAGGTGCAAGTCCAGTGAAGACATCCAAGTAGATGTGGACATAATCTTACACAGGAGAAGAAAAGGGTCAATAACTGATTGGGAGGAAGAGGAGGACAGTAACTAGAGAGAACCAACGTGTTGGTGGTCAGGGAAGAGGGCGATGGAGTGGTCAGTTGCAGCCTGCCCACTGCAAGTGCTCTTGGATAATAACTTCATGAACTGAATTTGTCTTTAAAAATGGAATAGCAAGTGAGGTACAAGTCAGGTCTCTAACAAGAGACCTACATTCCCTCTCAGGTTGGCTACCAAAGGACTTCTCCTCTTGCTTGTTTAAATCTGGCTGGCCAGGACGGGCAGGAAGGACCACTGACTGGCTCAATTTTAAATGGGTTCTGCAAGGAAAAAGGAACCTAGATCTACAGCTTCAATCTGCTCCTCCCCTGCATGTAGTTCTAGGCTATTTTATTTTATGCCTCAACACCCAAAAGACTCAAGATGGCACAGATCCCACTCAGAATACAGCCATAGAACCCAGGGGCCTTTACTTCAAAATGACAGCCAACTTAAAGTGCTTGTCAATTATTATTTATGTCCCTTTTTTTGTTTTGTTTTGCTTTGCTTGTCTTTCTTTAGATGTATGTGATGTTGGGAGGCATGGCTTCTAATCGAAGAAGAAAAATTGGGTCAAATGAACATCTTTAATAGTTTCAAGTCTTCTGTAAGCGTGTATATTACGTACCCCCTCCATTACAATGATGGTTACTATTGTGCTATAGACTATGACCAAAGTCAGTTGTTTCTTACCTGGAAATATCTCTTAATGGCTCAGTTTCACCAATCCAGGCTGATGGGACGAACCAGCTGAGCCTCTGCCTGGCCAAGGCACGTCCGGCTCCCCAAATTAGGACCGTGGCCCCCGGGAGTCCTGCAGCTTCTCTGTCCTGAAGCTGGTACCCTGCTAAGACAAAACCCAAGTCATGTTACCAAGAGAGGCAATTTCCTATTCTCCTCCCGTCACAAAGTATTTTTTTAAGGAGAGCAGAGAAAGTCACAAGATCATAGATTACCAGGGCTGGAAGATATCTATGAGATAATCTTCTCTAATTCTTTCATTTTATAGTTGGGGAAGTCGAGGCTCAGAGAACAAAACAGCCTCATTCATGGCTTCAGCAACTGGGGAGTAGAATCCACACTGAAACATGACTCTGACTCTTTGGCCTGTGGAATTTTTTAAAATGCAGACACATGGTCAGGCTGACTTCTCAAACAAGTGGTCATTGACCTTGAATGGGAAGATTTTTTTGTTGTTGTTTTTATCGGTTTTTTAAAACAGATTTTCAAACAGGGAGGTGACACTTTTTCCAGATTGCTGTTTTTGCAGTTTTACCCCTGGGAGCTAAATTAGTAAAACAGTTCACCTCAGGCATGTGGTTGGGATGCTTCTCCCTGCTTTCCATTGGGAAAACATTGTTGTGGAATACACGACCCAGGCACACAGTGACACAGTGGTGGGTGGGCTGTTTTTCAGTGAGAGGCATGTGTGCGCCCAGGTGTCTCTCTCCCCCTCCCTATGTTTCAGGGAAACAGTAACAGATAAGGGCTCCCTTTCCACGAGTGTCATTTATCAGGAGATTTTTTCTGGCTATTGTACTGTGTAGAAAATCATAGAAAAAAAGAAGAGAGTTCACATTTATTAAGCGAATATCTGCCAGGCATACCATGAGAATTTTATAGATATGTTTTCCTAATTTGTCCTCAAAAAATCCCTGTGAGATACCATTAACTTCATTTTTTTCAAACAGGTAGAAAACCAAGCATTCAAGAGCCAGAATGATGTGCAGAGTCATAAAGAGAAGACAAAGAAGAACCAAAAACGAACCCGCGTCTAAGTCCTAAATCTTTCTGTCATCTAAACTGGGCTATGGTGAGTTATTAGGCAACAACACTCAGAATAGTCTATTTTTCTCAATATTTTAGCTCAAATGCATGAGAATGTTCTTCGGAAGCTGGAGCTGTTATACAGACATGAGGGCTTATTCTCATTGTATCCTCTTTCTGACAGGGGGCTCTATAGACCATGCTTCCTGCCCGGCTCCCAGCTGGGGCGCGCAGGCCCCCAGAGGCCGGGCTGGCAGCAAGAGGCCACCTCAGGAAGTTGCGATTATCAATGCTCCCTGGCTCTGGGCTTTGTTCCTGTTCTCAGACAACAAGGGACATGCCAGGAGAGATGGGGTGGGGGTGGAGAAAGAGGAAGAAAAAACAGGAAGTGAAGGGGGGAGGAGGGAAGGAAATGATAGAGAAAACACAGCAACTCTGAACCGTCCTTGGCCCGATGAGAAAGTGACTTTGGAGGGGACATTTGTGGAGCCGAGCCTTGCAGTTTGAGAAACCGGGTCACAATGATAACAGGGAAGTAGGGGGACAGAGAAGTTTGTTTCCTGGGGACTCAGGGTGGGCGCCCATAAATTCCACTTCCCACCACAGAGCTCGCCTGGCACGGGGCTGTTTCCCACACACTCAGGTGCAGCCTGACACCCAGGGAGGAGAAATTCCAAAGGAGGAAACTGGGGTAAGAGCACATCCCTCACCTCTTGGCTGTGGCTGTGAGGCCAGGTGTGTCACAGAAGGATCTGGAAGCAAGAGAGAAGCCGCTGATGTGACCAGGTATCAGGGGAGCTATCCCACCCCCACTGCTTTCCTCTCTCAAACGTTCTCAGAATGATAACCTGTTTTCAGCGTGTACCATTGGGACCAATTCGCTCCACCAGGCCCAGCAAGAATACTGCCATCGTCCACTGCAAAACCGAGAGGGTCAGTTCCGCGGAATGCTGAGTCTCCTCCAGATCGTGATCCTAAGGTACTTCCTGCATGTTTTTTATCCACTGTGTCTACTCTACTTACTTACAGGTGCTTACACAGGTCCCCAACTCCAAATGCACATCATTAAGGATGGCAGTCACCTGGTAAGTTGAACGACCACACAAATAACAACCCAGTACTTAAATACTAATAGTAACAGTGCTTTACATCCCTGATGGGCACCAGGAGGGGGCAGAAGACGTAGAGTCCCCCAGCAGACAAGGCCCCGATACCATCCCACCCCTCCAATGCTTCCCCCAAACGGGCTGTGCATCTGGGAAGCTAATAAAAACGACAGACCCAACCCAGAGTAGGGGACAGGAAATTTGTATGGTTAAAAATCTTCTGGCTCTGGTCCACCTACTGGATAGCACGTGCCCTGATTCAGCCCTCACCATCGTCCTCCTCCCATCCAATAGATGCAACCACAGAGGCCCTACAAGGTCAGGGCTCACTCGAGGTCCCACAGGGAACGGCCTCCCTGGGATCTGCCCCCGATCCTGTAAATTACCCCCACTCCCAATCCAAACAAACACAGAGAAACACCAAGTAAGTGTATGTTTGAGAGGAGTCCAAGTTTTTTGAAGTGACGGCTGGTGGTTTTTGCTGTGTGAGTCACCCATGGGCCAAATGTCCTGTAGTGAAAACAGAGATCAAGTAGGCAAGGAAACTTCCAGCTCCCATGGGGGTCTGCGCAGGCAGCATCGCCTCACCCAGCACCAGGGCTAATTTGCTTCCGTCACCAGCAGCCGTGGCCATCACCCCCCACAGCCCCGCTCCTCTGTGCCGGGCAGGACCAACACCACCTTGGGCAGTCAGGAGTCTGCCCTCCACAGCGCGTGGAGACCAGCAAAGTGCTTTTCCATATCTCGTCCTCTTTGGCCATTTTGAGAAAGATACAAAGCAGAAGAGATGGCCTCATTTTAAACGCAGAGACGCTGAAATGCAGAAACATGAGGTGACGTATCCAGGGTCACAGAACAGAACCAGGACTCGAACAGGCATCACCTCACTTCCAGTCTTGTGACCTTTTCACTATGTCATGCACCCCCCACCCCAGTCAGCGGAGGGGCTGAGGAACAGCTTAAAAAGCTGCCTGGCTTCTACTTCTGAATGGTTCCAGCAACGGGAAGGCAGGGCTGGGGCAAACCGAAGAGGAGGCAAAACAGACGGCAGGAGGATGAAAGAGACCCCCTTCCCACCCTCCGCTGGGCAGACAAGGGGTCCGAAGCCCGCATGGGAGTGTGCTTGTGCCAAGTCCCACAGCTCACCCGCGGCACGGCTTAGACCGAATCCGTGCCCTCTTTCTTACAATACCTGGAGCAGGACCAACATTAAGAAATATCAGAAGGGGCAAGTGTTTAGATAATAAAAATAGCTAACACTTATCAAGTACCTGCTGTGTGTCAGGCTTTGATTAGCACTGTGCATCTAGTAACTTCCCGAAAGTTCACAGCAACTTAACGAGGTAGGCACTGCAATTGCCCCCTTTGCAGATGAGGGAACTGAGGCACAGACTGGTTAAGTCACTTGTCCAAGGGAGTCAGCTTTTGTAAGACGGAGCCAAGATGTGAATTTAGGAAGTCTGGCTCGAACTCTGTGAGGCAAAATAGTGGAAAGAAAGAGAAAGCAACAGTAGGACCAGCTGACACCGTCATCCCCAAGGAGAGCAGAAAGAGAGCGAAGTCTCCAGGCAGGGACTGTTGCGAGGTGCTGTGAAGGCAGGATCCCAGATTTGGTCTCTGGTGCCCCCTGGGTGGCAGCCCACCAGTGTCAGCTGACACCAGTAAATGACATCCTGGTCTTGGTGTTTACACAGCACTACTTGTGGGAGGAGGGAGTGGCTGGGCTGGAGAGGGGACAGAGGGAGGGCCTGAGATGGGACAGTCATGGAGGTGGGTGGAGGAGATGATGTCTTGGGAACCCTGTTCCCATCTCCCAGAGGGATGGAGCGGCTGGGCGGGCAGGCGGTGCTCTGCCGACAGTCCCCGGCACCGCCAGCACACACACTCCTGGGACACAGGCTTCTGAGATGCGGCCCGGTTCCAGCCTCTTGCAGCCTGGGAAGCAGGGAAAGACAGGACTCATCTCTCACCCATTCCCAGATGACGAGGCTAAAGCCAAAACAGTCACAGTCCTGGAATAACAATAATGGCAGCGACTATTTGCTGGCGGTCTATTACATGTCAGGAAATAAGCCGGATGTTTTACATAGATTATTTAATAACTATAACTGTACCAACTCTGAGAGGTTCATGTGTATATTGAGAAAGCTAAGTAATTTTGTAAAGGTCAAAGCTAGCAGGCTGTAAGAGAGGATCCGAACCACCGCTTATGGGAGTTTCGGGCCCACGATCTCACCTCAAAGCCGCATGTGTTGTGACATGCTTAAGTGACTTACCCATGACCATGCGACGGTGCTAAACCACGGCCAACTTTTGAAAGCGCACGGGCTCAGGTTTTCACTGCAACACTTTGTCCACACTGCACGTCCGTGCTGAGTGCCGCTAACCACTTCCACGTACACGGTCACTTACAATTAGGGTGACTTAATGGTTTATCATCCAAACCTGGATACTTCTGAGAGTGAAAGGGGGTCCTTTTAATAATACCACTGGGACAACAGGCACACACCTGGACGGTCCCCGGCACACAGGGACACACGGTCACCCGAATACTCCCACAGTCCCATGGGGCTGGTTACTCCCATGCCCACTTGTGCTGGCAGAGAACTCCCCCTGACAATGCGCTGCTTTCCAATTCACACAAACGCTCCTTTGTAACAATTCATTCTCGCTTTGTTCACCAGGCTGTCTGCTAAATTTGTTGAGCTCGTAGGCCTCATAGATACAACTGGCTGATGCAACTTGGTTATAAAGTAGTCACGCTATGATGTGAGAAAGGAGGGTATGACTAGTTTCAAAAATATATGTTAAAAGACTGGTGGGTTCCTTGTGCCCTGACAGCCCAGAACCTGAATGCCTGGCTGTTCTGATAACCAGCCAGCTCCTCGGAAGTGGGGACTCTGCGGCTCGCCCATCTAGGGCAGCCTAAGGCCAGTGGGTGGGCAACCGGCCTGGGGAGTAGCAGCAGCTGCCG